TATATATATATATATATATATATATATATATATATATATATATATACTTCCACACCTCAGGGTCAAATTCCTTGGCTCAAGACAAAGGGCCCCACAGGACAGGTTCTGACTCAAGAGCATCATGGTCTTTTGATGACCACAATAGAATATTAACCCGTTGTCTATGGAAATGCTTCATGGGCATAAGCACAGACATTCACACTGAAACTTCCGGGGGGGTGGGAGCCCCATCCAGAGCGTCCGTGAACTCCTGCTCCTGGGAGGCTTGATAGTCCATACTCCACCCGATGTTCCCATATTCCCCTGAGGAACTCTTGGTCCTGTGAAGCCAGGAGCCTTTGTTGCGTTCACTGCTTGAATACTCAGCACTCCTAGGTTCGCCTTGAGCAACTGTGCAGCGGAGCCCAGCCAGCTGGTTTCACACCTTTCAGTCTCTGCACCTGCTCTTCCTTCTTGTAGGAGCTGTAGCAATGGTAGATTCACTTCTTCATTTCCACCTCACTCATCCTCACAGCCTAGCCAGGCTCCACCGTGATGGAAGCTGGCCGCCCATCCCCAAACACTGTGCTTACTCCAGAGGCCTCCTGCCAACCTAAAATGATCGGTTTCTTTCCTTGCTCCCCTTCCCCACTCCATGGGGCTAGCGAGCCTGTTGGGTGCAGAAACAGCCCCTGTTGTAGGTAATTTGTATGGCGCCTGCCCATCACGGACCTGGAACACTGTAAGCTGCTGCTAAACATGTGTTGATAAATGAGAGGGGAGCGGCAGGAAATGAAGCTGGAAGGAAGTCTGGAATGACTTTGAAATGACCTTCATTAGGCTGGATACTTACAGTGGTGTGAACTGTAAGAACAAGAAGAAAAAAAACCTCTGGGTTTTTTCGTTTTCTTCTTTTGGCTTTGTTTAAGGGCACAGACATGGCTTAGTGTGTGTTTAATGACGAGAGGGTGTATTGGAAAGGGAAGCTTAAGTAGGTAGGAAGCCATTATAACAGTTCAGGCTCACGGGTGGAAAAGGCCAGGTCACGCACACCTCTAATCCCAGCACTTGGGAAGCAGATGCAAGGCAGGATGAAGGGGGGGGGAGGGGCGGGGAGTGCAAGGCCAGTTCTAGCCCAGGGCTACAGAGCAAGACTAGATGAGAAAACAAATGGGGCCTTTGAAAGATGGCTCAAACATTGAGAGTACCTGTTGCTCTTGCAGAGGACCTGGGTTAGGTCGCAACCCGCCCGCCTGGTGGCTCAGAACATAATGTGCTGCCAGTTCCATGGAGCTCCATGCCCTCTTCTGGCATCCACAGGCACTGCAAGCATGTGCAAGCATGTGGTCCACTTCAGCGCAAGCTGGCAAAACACTCAACACACATAAAATAAATCTTAAAGGTTCTATTCCAGGGGTGCACACGTGGTCTCGGGAAGCTGAAAACAGGCCACAGTGAGAATGTATAGCCGGGGAATCTGAGCTTTGTCACTGTGGGGATGTATAGAATGAGAGGGGAGTTGGTCTGGCCAGGAGCTCCAAGAATGGGTCTTAAGGGTGATGCGTAAGTCGACATCTGCACACTGCTTTTGTTTCCTTTCGTTTTTCAAGACAGCATTTCTCTGTGTAGCTTGGCTGTTCTGGACTCCCTTTTTGTAAACCAGGCTGGCCTTGAACTCACAGAGGTCTGCTTGTCTCTGCCTCCCCAAGTGCTGGGATTAATAGGCGTGCACCACCATGCCTGGCTATCTACAAATAGCTTTAAGGGAAAGAATCAGCAGGCTTTATCAGTCCCCAAGAGAAGGTAACCTTACATGAGAGATTCAGTGCCAAGGACCAGAGAGGTGCATAGAGGAGAGAGATTGTAGCGCTGGTTGCCGCTGAACACTGCCCTGCCAAGTGTTGGATCATTTGAGGCTGTGAGGATTGCTCAGCAATTGAAAGTAACCATTCTTTTCCCTCCTTTGCTCTTTCCTCACCCACTGCTGCCTGTGTCAACAGCGGCAGCACCCCAGATTCTGCTCCCTGCCTCCTCTTTCCATGCAGCTTGCCTGTAGCCTTAGTCCCTAACCTCCAAACACTCCTTGTTCCCTTACACTGGCCTTCCTGCACCCTCTTGCTCACTGAGCCCAGGGTGGACCTTTGCAACCTGGCCTTGCCAATTCTACCTCACCTGACCACACATGTAAACAGCATGATCTCCTGGAAAAAAACGTTCTTTCTGGCTGCTGCCCTTGCAATGTCTCCTGAGCCCTCTCGTTACTGGAGTCAGGGATTCCCATAAGTGTCTGGTTCTTTGCAATAACTTGCCGGACTCCATCTGACACATGTACACATATGTACCCACTACTTTTTTTCTCTTGTGGCACCTGCTGTTCTTCTGGAACCCAGGCACCTGGGGGGTCTGCTGCAGGCTCTGGGTAGGGGCTTACCTTTCCTTTCCTGTAGAAAGAGGCTGCTACGCGAGGGTGTGCTTGGCCAGCCCCCAGCCCAACCCTAACATTTTTCACAACTACAAAACCACTTTGTTTTAGTATTTGTTCCACCAGCGGGGTCTTTGAAGACACCTTCCACTGTGTCCTGTGACCTAAGGCAATGCTCATCACAGGAGCTCTTATATGAGCCTATGTGTGTGCATCAGGAAACGGCTCTTAGGTTTTGTCAGATTTTTAACGGGCTCTGAGAGCTACAGAGGCTAAGAACCTTCCCTGGACTCTAAAGGGGCTGCCTGCCTTTCAGAACGGCATTCCTCCCTGGAATATAAGCTCCTAGAGGACAAGTGTCTTTCTTATTCTGTCTGGTCCATGGTGTATCCCAGGGCCTACAATGGTATCCAGTGCATCCTAGCATAGATGTGAAATGAACAACAGCTCCAGACAACTGCCTTGGGCACATGGACAGCCTGTGCATGCGCCGTCTGTGGCTGAACCACCCCAAATACAATGCTTTACCTCAGCTTCCCCAGATCAGGAGGTAAGGTGTGACTTGGCTGGTCCCAACCTTCACTGTCTCTCACAGGATGCAAAGTGTGGACGTGGGGTGGCATCACGAGCAGGGCAAGGATCTGCTTCCGGGCTGGCTCACACAGTGGGGCATTGACCGTGAGAACGGTGCTTACCACAGGGTCCGCTGCACCGCTCAGCTCACAACCCGGGAGCTGGCTTCACCGATCAGAAGGAAGAGAAGAGTGCAGTCTTCCATAACTAGGCCCTATCACTGAGCTATGATCTTTTCATAAGAAGGAAGCCTCTTCACCTAGTGCACTTGGCACACAGGGACGGGATCCGTCAAAGAGCACAAATGTACTAACCGCAGAAGACATAGGCCAGAGCCTACGGAGCCAGGCCAGTGGGGAGGAGGCAGAAACTAGTGGTGAGATTTGGAGAATAGCTGAGCCTTTGCCCATCTTCCAGCGGGCCACCATCAACCTGTAGTACAGATTTAAAGATCTTCTCATTTTTTAAAAGTAGCCAAAGCCTAGATTTTTCCTCATTTTTCAAATGGGTATAATCAAGCAAAACCATTGGGTTTCCACTTCAAGGCCGGAAAGGACCTAATTCAGTCTTATCTCTCACACCCTTTGAATCTGTCTGCTATCTCTCACCCTCCACTCCACCCAACTTGCTCACTGGCAGCAAGAATGCAGCCAATTCATTCTGTGCACGTCCCACAGAAAACAGACTGAAAACGCAAAGTTGCTGCAGTTTTTTTTTTTTTCCTCAGGGAAATAACAAGCCAAAGGCAGCCACTAAGTAGCCTTGGGGCTGTAACTTGGGATCCGAGCTCTGCCTTGAACATGTGATTAACTGCCTCAGGAGCTGACCTAACGTGAGCTAGTCTTACATTACCACCGCTCTCTCTCCAGGCTGTGTGGTGTTCCTCCCCTTATCTGCTGTCATCTAACACTATCTATCTGGCTGGGACAGTAAGCCTGTGACTAGCAGACTTGTCATTGTCAACGAAAGGTTTAAATCCTTTCCCAGCCTGCTGACGCCCTTAGCAGAAAATCCGAATGGCTTAACACAGCCCACTTCCTAGGCTGCTGTGGAGCGGAGCCCGCCCAGGCTTCTGGGCGCATTGCTCATCTTTTCTCTTCACACTTGGTGCTGCAGCCACACCGCAGCCGTTTCCCATCCCTCACACCTCCCCGCCACAGCAAGCCTTTCTAAGGGCTACCCCTGGCTGGAGCCTCTTCCCGTGTCCGCCAGGCCTTGTTCACTCTAGCTGTGCCTAGCAAGAGAAAACTCATTACGTCCCTTTTAAGTCTGAGGCAGACACAGCATCTCTTTTCCTTAGTGACTTCTTCCTAGCATTGTGGTTGCTGGCAGAGAGCAAGTTTAACTTTGTGGCAGTAGTCCCAGCAGCTGAGACCCACGGGCAGACAGTGCCACCTGCTGGCCTGAATTTGTCTGCCTTTCAGCACTGAGAACGTCTTAACACTCTGCCCATAAGTCTATCTAGTGTCTCCCCTTTGCACCAAATTAGGAAACTGAGTATTTGATGTATTTCAGACACATTTCTAACCACTGAGTTATTCGTTTCACAGCCACCCAAGAAGGCAGATGGCCTCTACTGCAATATTTAACAGGTAGGGTAACTGAAGTAGTTATTCTCCTGAAGCCAGACAGGTAGAAAATCTCAGACTCAAATCCATTTTGAACCCACAGATGTAAGTTGAACTAAGTCTCTGCCTCTCCTGCCCTTCACTCTGTCCCAGACACCTCTACAAATGTCTACTTTGAAGGTGTTGCTGTCAGTGGCTTCCATGTCCAGAGATTATGAAACAGCCACACATTCTGAAAATTGCAGTCCTCCAAGGCGGACAGGGGTAGGCTTGGCCTTCCCACTCCTCTATCTGACCACAGCAGACAGAGGCACCTCTGAACCTGTTTCCCAATTAGACCTTTAGTCTGGGTGGGGAGGGACCTTCCAAGATGCTTGGCCCGCCTCCTGCCTTCATAGCATTATAGCTACAAACATCTAGGAGCCCCTAGAGCAGCCTCTTGCTCGCTAAATCCTGCCCACTCACCTCCTCTCAATCACTTTTGTGTTGTGTAGAAATGTCCGCACCCTCCACTTACAATCAAGTTTTAAGATACTGCTTCTGTCTCTCTACTGAAGCACAGAGATGTGGCACCTTCAAAGTCATACAGCAAGTATTAGCCCTCTCCACTCACTAGTCTATAGTTTTGGGGGTTTTTTGTTGTTGCCGTTTTGAGACAGGGTTTCTCTGTAGCATGAGCTGTCCTGGACTTGATGTGTAGACCAGGCTGGCCTTTAACTCAGACATCTGCTCAGATTAAAGGCTTGAGCCACCATGCCCAGCTTTAGTCTACGGCCTTAAGACATTGCTACATTACATACCTGTAATCACAGCACTTAGAGGCTGACACAGGAAGACCGAGTTTGAAGCCAAACTGGGCAGCAAGTAGCAGACTGCCGCAAAATACAAACAACCTGCTGGGTGTGGCGGTGTACTTCTTAGTCCCAGCACCTGGAAGGCAGACGCAGTGACCTCTGTGAGTTAGAGGACAGTCTGGTCCACATAGCAAGATCCTGTATTAAAAAAACCAAACCAAAACAATCCCACAAACAGAAAAAGCCACTGCATCAAATTCCTCTACTGTTGATGCTCTGACTCATCACTCTCAAATGAAGACACTGCTTTGCACAATTTTGTTTTAATACAGATATATACATATACACACGTACACAGTCACAGACCAGCATGACAAGTCTCCTTCTTTAGCCAGGACAGCTCTACCACACCCAAGGGTCCTGGAGATGCTCCAGGAAGCCTAAGTGTGGCGGTTTTCACGTATGACACCCATTTGGGAACACTTCAATCAGGTAAGTGGCAAGCTCATCCCAGGTGCACACTGCCTGGGCCTCATGCAGGTCCAGAGCTCTGCTGCACCCTCTTCATCAGCTCTTCATCCTGCATAGACAACTCTGTCAACTTTTTGCCCATCCTCTCATGGATGTCCAAGTACTTGGACACACACCGGTCCAGGCACACAGACTCGCCTTTGGACAGCTCGGCTTCCTTGTAGTGGGGGGGCACGCACTTCCGATGGCAGGCACTGGTCATTCTGGGTTTAGAGAGGAGCAAGGTTGTGTCAGTAACTTCCTGTGCACCCCAGGAACCGTCGACAACTCCAACCCTGCTGCACTGCTTTCCTTCCCTTCTCCCCCAAGAAAACAGTGGAAACCCTCAGTTTCCACTTTAAGGTTGAGAACTTAGTTCCGACTAAGAACCTCGTCTGAGTCACGTACACGACTGTTAAAGAGGAATCACTTGCTGGACAGTGGCTGTGTGCCAGGCACCAGGCTAAGCGCTAACACAGACTCTGTCAGGGAAGGCACACAGGAACCCAGTGGGGTAGCCACAATCATTGTTCCCACTTTACAGGCACAGAAGCTCAGTAATCTGCTGAGGGCCACCCAAGGCAGCCTGTCTGCGCGCACAGTCTGCACCTTAAAGGCCCTTCTAACTTGCAGCCTCCCAGATAAATCAACCAACAAAAAGAGCTTGTACTGGCAAACCAGCAGATGTCTACCGTTTCCTGTAAGTGTGCTACATGCTAAAGGAGGTCATGTTTACTGTTAGTACTGTCTATGAAGTGCTGCTCACTCTGTCGGCAGATACCTACCGTTTCCTGTAAGTGTGCTACATGCTAACGGCGGTCATGTTTACTGTTAGTACTGTCTATGAAGTGCTGCTCACTCTGTCAGTTTTGTTGATGAGATGATCAGTTGGGAGACAACGTACCCAGAGGTATTCCGCAGGTGACTAGTGCACCATGATTTGTTTCCAAACCGGCCACACAGGTCCAAGCAGTAGCTGTGAAGTCGGACTGGAGTTCTGATGCTGCTACAGAGCAGCTATGGACCTGGAGATTACTAAACCCTTGATATCTCAACTACCCTGTGTTAAAATGGCTCATAAAATTAGCCCACCTATCTCCCTTCCTTTCATTTATTTATTTATCTATTCATTTATCAGGCTGGTCTCCTCTATCCTAGGCTGGCCTCACCATGAAGTCAAAGTTGACCCTGAACTATTGATTTGCTGAAGTGCTGCAATTATAGGCACCATTTCAGGATCAAACCAAGGGCTTTCTGCATTCTACACAAGCACCCTACCAACTAAGTTTTACTCTTCTCCCTGTGCATTATTTTGAGTATTAAAAAAAACAAAAACAAAAAACTGGGGGCTGGAGAGATGCTCGGTGGCTCAGAGAACTGGCTGTTCTTGCAGACCTGGGTTTGCTTCCTAGCACCCACATGGCAGCGCACAATCATGTGTAACTCCAGTTCCAGGGGATCTGATGCCCTCTGGATCTGGCCTTTGCAGGCAAGTGGTACACATACATACATGCAAGCAGAACACACATACATATAAAATAAAAACAAATAAATAAAAAACAATATTAATGATAATATATAGAAAATACTTTTCAAGTGCCTAACACAGAGTTAAAATTTAATGAAGGCCAGGTGCTCAGACCTTTAATCCCAGAACCCAAAACAATGAGGCCGGAGATCTCTGTGAATGCAAGGGCAGCCAGGACCACATCATGAAACCCTGTCTCAAAAAAAACAGAAAAAGGTTGGGTGGTGGTGGCCCACACCTTTAATTGCAGCAATCAGGTGGCAGAGGCAGATGGACCTCTGAGTTCAAGGCCAGACTGGTCTACAGAGTGAGTTCCAGGACAGCCAGGGCTACACAGAGAAACCCTGTCTTGAAGAAAAGAAAAAACAACCCTCCCAAGCCCCTACAAAAAAAAAAAAAAAAAAAAAAAAAAAGAATCAATATTAGCTTCTAAATGCTATTGACTTCTAAATGACCATTCAGATGGCTCCAGAGGCAACAGTACTTGCTTCCAAACCAGAAGACTTGAGATCAACCCTGGAGACCCACATAGTGGAAGGAAAAATGGATTCTTTGAGGCTGGAGTCCTTCAGACAACTCAGTGGTTAAGGGGACTGGCTGCTCTTCCAGAGGTCCTGAGTTCAACTCCCAGAAACCACATGGTGGCTCCCAAGCATCTGTAATGGAATCTGATTTCTTCTTCTTCAAATACGTAAGAATACACACACACTCATACACTTTTTCTTTAAAGATGGACTCCTAAGTTGTCCTCTGGCCTCCACGTGTGGGCTACGGCAAGCGAGGTGGCACTCACAAACAAACACAAAGTACATAAACAAAGGTAATTAAATGGGCTATTGGGGAAAGGGGAAAAGGAAGGAAGGAAAGAAGAAAAGGCACTGCTTAGTTGTTCTTGATACTCAACAGAGTCTGGACAGGAGATTCTCCTTCACGCCCCCTTTACTCCCTCTAAATAGCCAAGCTCTTCTAGTGACCCTTATTTACTTTAGCCAAGGACTCTGAGGGTGGGGCCGGGGTAGAGGGGTGGGACTTGGCTTCCCTACCCTAAAGAAAGCATTCGTTACAAATCCTTCGCTCTGTTATGGTAAGGGTGACCCAGGCTAATTTTCCAAGACGGGTAAAGTGGTTCTCTTTACCTGTTGTACATGTCGGCCATCATCTCCACCTCCAGCTCCGCAGCCAGCTGCTGGGCTCTGAGAGGATCCATGTCAACCTAGCACCGTGGAGAGGACAGCCTCCTGGTCTTCCGTCCTAGGAGCAGACAATATCGTCAACACCGACCCCTCCCGGGGGCTGGAGGACGCGAGGAATCAGTGTTTCAAACCAGCAGGGACCAGTGTCCTCAATAAACGTAATCAGCTCTCTTAGCAGAAGTGGACATGAGGCCCTTACAGGGGACAGCGTCCAGCTCAAGGTCACTCAGGATGCCACGGGGCTCGGGGACGGAAACAGACCTCTCAAGGCCCCCGAGATCGCTCCTAGCCAGAGGATCTACGGTAGGGACAGAACACTCAGAACCGTGGGCCTGAAAACCAGTGCGGCCCTGAGAATCCGACCCTACCCAGGACCTAGGTTCCCGGTGCCGGACCAAGGGCTGCGCCTCTGTCACGGCGACGGCATCATCAGGGTCACCCTGGGGTCAGACGCCGTGGCTCGCTCACCACGGCCTGAGGCACCTCAGTTCCCACGCCGTCCCCAACTTCGCGTCAATCGTAAAAAGTTGCCGGGCACCCAGGTAGGCGAAAGGAGAAGCACGTGGGTCACTTCCGGAGAGGAAGTCCAACCTCTTCTTTGATCCGGAAGGTAACGGAGACCAGGCCGCGCTGGGAAACCGGCTACCATAGAGACGGAGCCTCCGGCTGGTCGAAGACACGACGACTTGGCTTGCTAGAGAGGACTCCAAAGTACCATAGAGGCCTGAGTGAGGGGCAGAGCGCCGGCAGCCGTGTTCGCATTCCATCCTGTGGGCTGTCCCGGAGGCGTGTGAGCGTGTGAGTGTGGAAGAGGCTGGCTCCCTCAACCCACTACGCCAAGCCCAGGCTTGAACGCAGTCAGGTCTTGTCTGAAGAAGGGAGAACGTTTTCCAAAGGGGCCTGTCAGTTTTGCATGTTAAAACCACCTGGAATATAAAAATAAATATTTTTTAAAATCTTCGATGCCCAGACACTGCATTAGTAAACCAGCGAGCTGTGTGTGCGTCATCAGCTGGTGGGGTTGTAGAGAGAAGGATACAAGATTGCTGCTCGCAGAAGGGAGAACCCAGCAGCTATTTTGTTTGCTTGCTTTTGAGACAAGGTCTCATGGAACCCCGGCTGCCCTGTAATTTGCGGTGTAGCGGGAAATGGCCTAGAACTTAAGATCCCCCTCCTCTACCTCACTAGTTTACTAGGTTACAGATGTGCCCCACTCTGCCTGGGTTTTGCAGTGCTGGAATGGAACCCAGGGTCATGTGCATGCTACAGGCAAGCACTCTACCAAATGAGCTACATGCCCAGGCCTGAAACATGTTTTATTGTACTTTTTTATTATACCCATACACATGCACAATCAATCAATAAATAATAAACAAATCTAATGAAAAGCACTGCTTTTATTCTTTAAAAAATACCTTTATTGGCCCCGGGGCAGTGGTGGTGCAGGCCTTTAATTTACCCAGCATTTGGAAGGCAGGAGAGGCCCCAGACCTCTGTGAGCTACTCTACAGAATGAGTTCTGGGACAGCAGAATACCGCTTTTGCAGAGGTCCTGAGTTCAACTCCTATCACCCATACTGGATGCCCACAACCATCTGTAACTGTAGCTCCAAGGGTATCCGACAGTCTGGCTCCCCAAGGAGGGCCCCTGCACTCATACATCCACACACACACACACGTAATTTAAGCAAAAAAAAACAAAAACAAAAACAAAAAACCTTTTATGGGGCTCAGAGGTTAAGAGCACTGACTGCTCTTCCAAAGGTCCTGAGTTTCATTCCCAGCAACCCCATGGTGGCTGGTAACCGTCTATAATGAGATCTGCTGCCCTCTTCTGGCCTGCAGGCACACATGCAGTCAGAATACTGTAAAATAAATGAATCTTTAAAAAAAAAAAAAAAAAAAACTTTTATTAGGGAAATTTACAAAACACGGAGAACACAGTCTAATGAATGCCATTGTATCTATCTTCAGGATTTGACAAATCTTAAAATTTAGTCACATTTTATCGTTCTATTGTTATATTTACCAGATGAGGTCTTTTTTCCAAAGTGCTGTTTTCACATCCTCAGCTAACAGTGGTTTCTTTTCTTTTTATCCTTCTTTGTCAGCGTTGAAGGCCCCACAACTGAACTGCAGCACTCATTTGATATACTAATTTTACATTTAAATTTATTTATAAGAACATGTGCCTTGGGCACTTGAGAGAGTGCAGGTAATACACACACTGTGCTCGTGAAGGTCAGAGGGCAGCTTTGGACATCCATCCTTAACGCCTGCCGTGTTGACACAGGCTCTCTTGCATTTGCTGCTGCCTCAGCCTGCCCCGCTGGCCCGCAAGCTTTCAGGGATGCACCTGTCTCTGCCTCCCATGTCACGGCAGGAGTCTTGGCACTGTGGAGACATCCTACATGCCCGGTGTTACACGGGTTCTAGGAACCTTAACCCAGGACCTTACTACTGCAGAGGAAGCTTTCTCCACCGGAGCCACCTCCTCAGCCCTACTGCAAATATTTTCCCAGCCTCTCAGAGGAATCGAGATGTTATTAGAACAGTTAGCACGAGATGCTTTTCTTGTACTGTACTAGCATCTCTATGCACTGTATTGCACAGAAGACCTCTAGAATTTGGTCATCTTGCATAACTGAAACTATACCCATTCTACTTCCTACATATCCTACTTCCCTCCCTTCAGGGCCTGGAAAATTGTTGGTTTTGCTGATAGTAGCGCTACTGTTATTATTTACTAGGTGGCCCTGTCTCTCTTCTATAGTTAGCATTCCTGGTGCTACAAGTAAGACTCTCCACTTGCCCATGGGATGATTGTTTTAAAAGTCAGCTGAATAGCTTCAGCTTTTGAGACTGTCACTGGGATCCAAATGTCATCCTGAACTGATGCTCTCTGGTTCCTCACTCTACCCTGCAATCCATCCTTTCCCATCCTTATAAAAGGGTCCATATTTGTCATTCACTCTGGGTCAGTACTGCGTTCTTGGGACTCAGCCCCAAACAAAGGAGTGCAGCATTTCCTCACTGGGACCTGACACTCATAAAAGACTCAGAGAGAACAAAGATATGTCTGGGCTGTCTTGAGAAGAGCAAGAGGAAAGAGACTTTCCCATTAACTTAAGTAGAAGGCCTACCCAAACTTTAGTGCGTCTCCACTGTGGCTGTTCCTCATCACTTTTGCTTTCCTCATCTCTCTGCTTTCACAAATGACTCTCTGGCCCAGACCACCACACACTGTACTGAGCACTAAGTTACTGCCCTGGCTGTTCTCCCTGCTCCTGTCTATACTTCACATCTGACTGTTCTCAAAACAGCAGCCAGAGTGATGTGAAAAACTAAAAGTAGATCTTGTCATTCACCCACTAAATACTGCAGTGGTTTCTAATCACAGAGCAAAAGCCAAACTCTTCTCAATAGCTTTGTAGGATCCGGTGTTACTTCTCTCTGTGATGTCGACCCTCACCTGAGAACAGCAGCCCACAGCAGGAAGGGTTTACTTTGGCTTTCAGTTCAGGAGATACATTCCATTTGGCAGAGGAGGCACTGTGGCAGGGATGGGAGGCAAATAGTCAAGTCGTGTCCGTAGTCAAGACACAGAAGAACGCTGGTGCTAGGCTCACTCTACCTCTTTATCAGTCAGTTATCCCAGTCCACAGGAAGTTGCTAGATTCCTTCAGTGTGGACCCTCACACCTCTCCTGGACTTGCCTATAGGTTTATGTCCTAAGCAGCTCTAGATGCTGTAAGTAGATCATCGGTATAAGCCAGTACACGCCTACGTGATGTGCCAGCCTTGTTTCTGCTACTTCCAGCCTTTCTCCTGCCCCATGCTCTGTCCAGCCATGCTGACACCCTCTCCTTATCAGACACACCAGGCAGGCACCCCTGCTCTCCTGTCACTGTCCTCTTTGCCACAGATGCTGATGTCCCTCACTCTCACAGGCTTCACTCCCAAACTTACTTGAGGTCTTCGTTCCCACATCACTTGTTTTATCTACCAATATGTCCTCTCTACAAAACAAAGCAAAAACAATCAGAAAATGCTCTTATTTGCCCCACTCCACCTTATTTTACAGAACTTAGCACATATAACACAGTACATATCTTACCTGCTGATGTGGTTACCTCCTCACACTTAACACAGTATATACCTTACCTGCTGATATGGTTACTCTCTCCTCACATTAAAATTGTCTTTTACCTGTTTCCTCTTGTATTCAATTCTGTTGTCTCCAACACCTTCCTGCTGTGCACCCACCATCACATCAAAGAGTGGAAGGATACCCAAGAGACATTTTGTTGACTGATGCCACAATCTTCCTGTGTGCTGTTTTTATTATCTACTGACAGAAGGGCAAGAATGAGTTAAGGGAAGGAAAGAATCATCAAGCCAGACAAATGTGGGAGAACTCACCTGTATTTAACAGCTAATTTCTGGATGAATGAAGGAGACATACTAGGGACATTTATTTGAGCATCTGTCCCTAAACCTGGCTTCACAAATGGTCTCTGTCTCACATCATCCCAGGTACTGACCACAGTTCCTTTTTTCTTCCCTGCTTTCCTTGATTAACTCCTTAATTCAATATGTATTTATTAAGAGCCCAATACGACCCAGACAAAGCTCGAGGCCTACATCTGTGAACATGAAAAAGATCCCCTATCCTCATGGAGCACAGAGGAGAGAGAGAGAGCAATATTACAGTAATTTTACGGATCTGTTTACCCTTATTTTAAGTGCATGGGTGTTTTGCCTGCACGAATGTAGTGCGGTACAGATGCCTTGGGGATCAGATAAGGGCCTCACACCCCTGGGACTGGACCCACAGATGGCTATGAGTTATCATGTAGGTGCTGGGATCTGAACCTGAGTACTCTGTAAGAACAGCTGGTGTTGCACTCCTGACCACTGAACCATATCTCCAACCCTGAGAAGGCAATTTGTTGCCGTTGTTATTCAAGACAGAGTTTCTCTGTGTCCTGTCTCTAGCTGTCTTGGCACTTGCTCTGTTCACCAGGCTAGCCTTGGATAGACCTGCCTCTGCCTCTGCCTCCTGAGTGCTGAGATTAAAAGTTTGTACCACCATGCCTGGCTAAGAATACAATTTTTAAAAATTCCAGTACATATCTAAAGTACACAAGCAGGCAAAAGTGACAAAGAGAGCTTGACAACTGTGAAGAATCCCTCTGAGAGAGAAAAAAAAATGGAGCTGGGTCCAGAACAATGAGAAGGAGCCCAGCCTCACAAAGAGCAGAAGGAAAACCCAGTCCTGAGTCTGGAAAGCACTGATTAGATTTATTTAAGGAACAGGAAGCAAGCCAGGGTGGCTGAGTGGAAGGGATTGGGGGAGGGGAATTGGAGGAGTCACAGGCTTCATAAATGGGAGGGATATCACTGTCCGCTCTCCAAGTGATACCCTTCTTAAGTTGTATGACACATAGCCAGGATAAGGATTTGCTTTTTTGTTAAGTTTTGTTTTGTTTTCTGAGCAAAATTTCAATTCATTGTGCGTACACACACACACACTATATATATATATATACACACACACACATAAATATATGTATATACAAACTGTTTGTATGTATGAATGTATATATTCAAGGTTGATCATGTATCAGTCAATAGAGCTCAAAACAGAAGCAATGAGTTATGTTGGACGTAGATGCTAAGTCCAGTGTTTCATTGGCTCTCTCCATTCCTCTGGCCTCTAGGTCCCTCCCCTTTAAAGCTTCCTGGTCCAGTGAGCCCACTGCCGGCAGCTGCCCTATTTGCTGCCTCCTGAGTCCATCCCTCAGCAGCTGCTTTGTCTAGAGAGGAGTGGAGGAGGAAATTAGAGGAGGACTGGAGGCAAAGGGCTAGGGGCATACAGGAGGTCTAGCCTGGCTCTGGATGGTCACAGAAAGCTGGAGACCATGTTCCGAATGGGCTAGCCTGCCGCTTGCCTGGTCCTCAGGAGGAAGGTGAACACAGAAAAGATGCTGTTAGGGCCAGGAGAGGGACGCAGCGTGATTGAAAGGTGCCACCTGTCAGATCTCCAGGGGAAATTTGAGCCTCCCAGTCTAAGAGAAAGTGTTGTACCAACAGGCCAGTAAACAATGCTCTCCCCAAAGCCCAGGCCTCTTCAAGGTGGGGAGGGGTGGGAGCAAGGAGGAGGGACTATGAGCTGGGGGCTGAAAGCCACCAGATCCTGAAGGACGATGGGAGTGAGGCTACTCACCTAGAACAAGGCAAGAGCTCCCAAGCTGCAGGCCGAACCCTCAGGTAGGAAAAGCTCTGGGCCCCTTTCTCACTGTTCCCAGATCTTCCAGCCCCTGCTCTCACCTTGCACGAGCCAGATCATCTAAGGAGAACCCTACAGTGAGAGAAAATCAGGTTGCTTCCTAGTTCTCCTCACTATTATCAACTCTGTTGAGCTGCCTAAGGAAGTTGGATAACCTTGAGCTCAGGTACAGAGTGGCCTGCAGGTGGCCATCCAGGAAGCGGGCCTTGGGGGGACAGGTGGAGGTATTGGGGGGTTGGGGAGGGAGCATTAGGATGCAATAGTCTCTCCAAGTGAGGGCTGAGGTAGGCAAGGCAGGAGCCTTGGATCTATTGAGAGAGAGACTGGGTGGCAGAAGGAGATGGAGACACTGCAGACAGCAAGCATCCTTCGCCTGTTCAAGGCTCAGAACTTGGGGTTTCCCTCTGGACTAGGGAGCTGAACTGAAGAGAAAGGGGTAATAGTTGGGGCTCAAGGGGAAGAGGGAAGAAGGAAGCAGAGAGTAGAACAGGAATAGAGTGGTGGGCAACCTTTTGTGAATGGCCCTGTGTGCGCTTGGATGAGAGAGCAGCTCCTTACCCTTAGTGGCTCCTCCCCACTGAGGAGTCCACTCCTGTGAGCTGGGGCTGGTCAAGGGACACTGCCTGAGGATCTAGTGGGAAAAGTATCTTCAGTACGTGCTCTAACTCTGGACTCAGGAGACCTAGGTTTCAGGTATAACTTGACATAATTTAATTTTCCTACAACTTTAGACACAGGAAGACTATTCCCTAAACCAGACTCCTAAACTATAAAACGGGGCTACTTACACCCTGCTAGGGCCAAGCAAGGGACCACCAAGGCACAGCGGAGCACTTGAGGGTGAGCTGTGAGCTGCTGCAGGACCATGAGCGTGGGGGGGGGGGTATCCTGGCTCTTCAGAACGCAGAGCTTCTTCACTCCTTGTTTATTCACAAGCCTGGAGAGGGGACGCAGAGGTGGTGAGCGGGCTCTTCTCTCTACCTTCCGTGTGTACAGCTGGAAGGAAAGAGTGGAAGCATCAGCTATGTCTTAGCACATTCGCCTCACTTGGATGTGTAAAAAGGACTTGTTTTCATCTTACTGACATACAGCTCTCTCTGTCTCTCAACACTAAGTGTCCTGGGGACCAGGTCAGGACCTAACCCTGGCTCAGGAATAGCGCAATCCCTCTTCACCAGGCGATCTGTGGACTAAGGACGCCCTCCAAATCCTTCACATGCCCTACACACCTAAGCCCTCCACTATCCCTATGGGCTGGCACCTTTTTCTGTCTATTGAAATTAAAATGAAGAGCAAGCACCGCACAGTAAACACTGGGAGCTGGTCTCCCTCCATCCCAAGACGCCAGCGACTTTCACCACAGAGTCACACCACCTTCCCCACCAGGACAGAGAACAGAGAGGGCAGAGAGTCTATGCCCCATTCACACCTTGAACATGGTTTTGACAAAGGGTGTAATAGAAATGTCTCATGGGAAGCAATTCAGTAAGAAAAGAGGGCAAAGAGGAAAGTCCACGGCCAGGCAGGTTTAAGGAAAGGTGAATTCAATGACATTCAAGCTACACTTTCAGTTTTTGAAACTCCGTGGCACCTGCTGCCTACTGAAGTGCTAATGATGCTGTGTCTCTCTGAGAGTGAGGAGCTCACTATATTTGGAACAACCTCGGTCAGTGAATGAACACATCTTCCTCTCACTGTCAAGGGAACCTGCATTTATTCTTTTTGTTTTTCTTCCTCTTTCTTTCTTTCTCTCTCTCTTTCCTTCTTTTCACTTTTTTTTTATTTCTTGAGACATACTCTCAGCTGGCCTCAAGATCAATATGTAGCTGAGACTGATCCTCCTGCCCTACTTCACAAATGCTAGGACTGCACGCCTGCACCTCACAAACGCTAGGACAGATTGCACGCATGTACCTCACAAACGCTAGGGGTGCATGCACACTCTGCCCTGTTGACGCAGTGCTGCAGTTGAGCATGGGCCTTGTACGTTCCAGGGAAGCACTCTGCCCCTTCAGCCATGTCCCCTGCGTTTGGGCCATGCTTCTACTGAGTACTGTCTAGACACTCTTAGCTAAAGCTGGCGCTCTTAGGGAATCCCTTGAGCTCAAAGCCAGCAGCTAGGTTAGGGTCCACGTGCTGTGACCTCCTGGTTATCTTCTGTGCACGCTGCTACACGGGCACACAGAAAGAGGGACCCCTCCTGCTAGAACATTTGACTGGAGCTGCCACACCATGAAGGGACCGTGCTGACGGACAGTCTTCAAATCTTTACAAAACTCTACCTACTTCCTAGAAAGTGGGGAAAGGGACACCAGATCCAGGGAGCTCTTGTCTAGGGAAACAGGAAGACTGAAGTTGGGGACACAAGCACATCCTGACTTCATGCTGTGTGTGTTACAGAGGTGTTCTGGGTCCTCCCCGCCAGGAAGACAGGTCTGCCGAGGGCAGGAGGTATTTTTAGCTGATGACAGGAGTGTCCACTTTTCTTACTGTCTGAGTCATGCCCTAAGCCCGATTTGGGAACTGTTTTCTTTGTAACTAGACCCCCAACAAGAGAAGGTAGTAAAGGAACCGGCCCATCCCTGACTCTGAACACTCAAATAGGAATGATCAAGTAAAGGAACTGCTCCGCCGCATACACCAGGAGCAGACTAGAGAGGGTGCAATTCTGTTCTCGCACCGAAGCACACTCTTCTCACCCGCTTTGTCAAGAACCACAAAGGTTCAGAGGGCAGCCTGCCTAGGGCCCCCCAAAGCCCCAGTATTTTTACATCACCTCTATGATTTGACATTTGTATCGTCTTTACTCGGGTTTCCTAAATGCCTGTCTTGTTTTGAATTAAGTTATTTTTAAATCCATTAATGTATTTTAAAAAGACACTTTAGATCACTGCTGGAGATGGAAGCTCAATGTCGCTTACCAGAAATAGAAGGTAAATGAAAATCCATACAATGAAAGCAAAGCAGGGCTGTGCAGGTCTATACGCCTGCTTGCTTTAGGCTGTGGGGGAGCAGCGATTTTCTGTCCATGTTCCAGAATGATGGTAAACTGGCTTAATCAAAATGAGGCAAAAAATATTGAAAAAGCATTATATGAGGCTGGACATTTCACTCAGGTGTAAAGTGATGGCTTGCATGCATGAAGCCCTAGGTTTGAGCCTTAGAATAATAATTATAATTATTTATAATGATAATAATGGCCAAGTTGGCAGTGCAAGCCTGTAATCCCTGCACTCAGGCAGGAAGATCAGGAAACCCTCTGCTAAAGACCAAGTCTGAGGTCAGCCTGGGCTACACGAGACCCCACTTTAAAATCAAAATAATAAATCCATAGTCTTCAGGAGGATGGATAAACACCAAGTCAAGGTGGTTCAACTGCCCCGCTTTAGCAGGGAAACCCTCTACCCTTCCTGTGACCACAGCAAGAGTGGGCATTTGGTGTCACGCCCAACGAGTTAGGGGACCAGGATGGAACCACAGACTTCTTGACTCCTGAGCCAGAACACTCAGAGGGCAGTGAGTGACAGTCTTCATGTCTTCTCTTTCTAGACATGGAACAGACAGAAGGGGGTCCCTCTGAGGATGGGACCACTGTCTCCCCAACTGCTGGGAATCCCGGGACACCAGGAAGTCAAGGTACGGCAGAAGAGGTGGCCAAAGGCACAGTGGGGACAAGTGACAATGAAGGGCCTCCAGATGGGGCAGAACACGCGTGTAAAGCTGTGTCTGAAGGTGGCCTGCCAGAGGGATGCCCGGGGGAAGCAACTGTATTAGACCTCAACATAGACTTGCAAGGCGCGGCCTGTGGGAAGGAGGGAGCCAAGGCTGGCCTCGCGGAGGAGGAGGGTGCGAAGGGAGCCACTGCAGTGGCTTCTCAAGAAGACATGGGCAAGAAAGAAGAGACAAAACCTGAACCCAGCGAGGATGAGAGGAAAGAGGAAGTTGTGCTGGCCTCGGAGAAGCAGAAGGACGATGAGAAAGAGGCCAATCTGGAATCTCAGGAGAAACTGGATGGGAACGATAAGGCTAAGCCTGAACCCAAGGAGGGTGCTGGGGCAGAGGGTACTGTCAAAGAGGCTGAGGCTGAATCTCAGAAGAAGGCTGATGTGAAAGACCAGGCCAAGGCTGAGCTCCCGGAAGTCGATGGGAAAGAGATGGAGGGTGACACAAAGGAGCTGGCAGTAAGTAGGGCATAAAGGAGGGCCGCAGCCTTCCCTTCCTCCGGAACTAAACCCCTGCCTCCCTTGCTTGTCTGCAGGTTTTGTTGTTGCTTATTTGTTTGTTTGTTGTTGCTTTCAAGGGGAAATTTTTATTTTGGCTCATGGTTTCAAAAGTCTTGGTCCAGGTTACACTGATTTAAGGCCTGTGATGAGGCAGAAATACGTGAAAGGGCATGATAGAGGAAGACTGTTTTTCCTACAGCAGCCAAAACAAAGAAAACAGAAGGAGACAAGAAATCTCGAACAAGATATTCTCTTCCCAGGGGAGGTGGCTCGTTGGGTACAGACACTTGCTAAGCGATCATAAGTACCGAGTTTAATCCTCAGAACCCATGTCAAAGTCGAGCCCTGTAAAGCACATCCGTGGTTCCAGTGTGCCTGACGGAAGCCAAGAAAGGAGAAACCTCTTATGCACAAACAACAAAGAGAACTTGTCTCAGGAAAGAGGAAGTCAGGATTATACCTGAGGTTGTCCTCTGATCTCCACACACACACTGTAGCATGAGCCCATACTCACATCCACACACACCACATACTTGCATTACATAAAAGATATGCCCTTCAAGAGCACCACCATGACAGGTGCCCTACCTAGGCCCTACTCCATATAATACCATCTCATTCGGCTATGAGCTCACCAATGAGACAGTCTGTTGAGGGCGCAGCCACTTTATCCAAACCACGACACCTTGGGAAAGCACAGCCTTCCCCCGCCAGGTACCGAGGTCTCGGGAGTGGGGACAGGAACGGAGAGTGTGGCCCAGGCTGCCTTCCAAACCTTTCTGAAGTTCTTAGAGAGCCTTGGTAGCTGCCTACATAGGTCCTGTTCACCCCAGGAGCCAGAGAGTCCTACTGAAGAGCAGGAACAGGCTAAGGAAAACGAACCAGAAGAAAGGACCGCGGCGGTTCCCAGCTCTCCCGAGGAGTGGCCTGAGAGCCCGACAGATGAGGGACCCGGCCTCAGCCCAGGTGAGGGAGAGCCCCGGATGCTGCATGGCTAGCCTGAGGAAGGAAGATCCGGAAGGCACATCTCAGATAGCTCAGCTTCCTTCTGCTCTATTCCTTCCCTCCAGACGGCTTGGTTCCAGACTCTACAGCGTCTGGAGAGACCAGTCCTTCCGCCAGGTAAGGTTGAGCATTGGAGCTCTGACTCCTCCCATCTGGGGCTCTGACTCCTCCCACCTCCTACTTCATCTGAAGTCAACCATCTTTCTCTGGGTCTCCCCAGAACCTGATTTCCAGATATCCCAGAATTCCTGGCCCTCAGTCTTGTATCCCAGACAGATCCCAGAAAACAAACGGAGAGAGAGGCAAGCTCGATGCCTAGTCTATGCTCTGCTCCACGGCTGGAGCCTATTCAGGGCCCCTGACTGGTCACTACAGCTCTCTCTAAGGGCCGTCCATAAGAATGACCAGAAAGCCCGAGTTCGGACAATGGCGCTGCCACTTTAGCAGCCACGAGACCTTGGCTGTGTCACTTAATTTCACCCGTAAAGTGAATAGAACGGTTGTTCGGCTCTCACAGGGTTACTGCAGGCTCCAGGAACCAGGGAGCAAAAAGCGCCTGCGCACGGTGCCTGGCGAACTGGAAGCGCTAGACACCTCAGCCGCATTTGCACAGCTTTGTAGGAAGTGTTGCCACCTGACCCTGATCTTCCGTAGGCCTCGGAATCACCTTGTCAGGTAGGCAGTCTTGTCCCCACTCTACAGACCGGGAAACCTGAGGTTCAGAGAAGTAAGGTGACAGCCCCAAGATCACATGGCGAGTGATAACAAAGCCCGGATCCAAACTCAGGTCAGAGCCCAGATATGCCCTAGTCCTGCACCACGTGACCTCAACAGACCACGGGCTCCGCAGAGTGTGTTTGTTGCTTCTCGGCCCGTCCAAAGCTAGGCCCAGGATAAGTGTGCACCGATTAACATAAACGTACAGACCTGAACATGACCTCTGCCTAGCCGGCCCCCTGCAGCCCGTGGAGTCGGCCTAATCCCCTTTCCGTGCTTCTGCAACCTCTCCAGTAGTGAATCTTCGCCCAGCGAGGTGCCCCAGGGCCCCTCGGAGCCCCCACCCACGGAGGAAAAGAAGGGAAGGGCACCGGAACGCAGGCTGTCGGCCCCCACCCGGCCACGGGGACCCCGTGCGCAGAATCGGAAAGCCATCATGGACAAGTTTGGCGGGTAGGGTCCCGACCTGGCAGGGTGGGCTGAGATTTCCCTAGGATCTGAGGGAGGGAGGCCTTGGGGGCCGCGGAAACCAAGGCCAGACCCTCCGCCGAAGCCTGTCTGTGGTTCCTTGCCCCTCCCCTCACAGGGCAGCCTCTGGCCCCACTGCGCTGTTCCGGAACACAAAGGCAGCCGGGGCAGCCGTTGGCAGTGTGAAGAACATGCTTCTGGAGTGGTGCCGGGCCATGACGAGAAACTACGAGGTGGGCACGGGATGGGATACAAAACAGACAGGGGACACTTTTCTCCAGGGCAAATGTGGTGGGAAATCTGAGGGTTCCGTTTCCAAAGGGCGGGAGAGGCGAAGTCCAGGCGCTCCTGCCCGGGACCACTAAGGTCTCCTGCCCATCTGTCTCAGCACGTGGACATCCAGAACTTCTCCTCCAGCTGGAGCAGCGGCATGGCCTTCTGCGCCCTCATCCACAAGTTTTTCCCAGACGCCTTTGACTACACAGAGCTGGACCCAACAAAGCGCAGGCACAACTTCACCCTGGCCTTCTCCACTGCAGAGTAAGTCTCCATCCAGGGACGGCAGGTCCTGCGGGAGGAGGGGGGCTCAGAACAGCCAGCTGCGAGCACAGGGTGCATGGCAAGTGGGTCCTCGAGTTTGTTTTTTAGCACCTTTAGGTAAATGGCACAAAAAGGCAAAGCTGCGCTCCTTGTGGCGCACAGCAGTGTGTGCCAGTAATTTCAGCACCCCAAGGCTGAAGCAGGAAGATTGCTGAGAATTTGAAGCCAGCTTCACCTCTATCTTAAGACCAATCAATCAATTATCAGTCAGTCAATGGCCATGGACATAGTTCGGTTTATAGAGTGCTTGTTTACCATGCACAAAGTCCTGTGTTTGATCGCCAGATGTGATCGTGCACACCTGTAATCCTAGCACCCGGGAGCTTTAGAGGCGCGAGAATCAAAAGTGCAAGGCCATCCCCACCTACACAGAGTTGGAGATCAGCCTGTGAGACGGGAGAACCTTTGTCGGATAAGTAAACAAACCCTAGTAATGGGTGTGCAAAGCATCAGGCCTCCTCCAGGAGGAGTGTGTGTCTCCATAGGAACATACTGATCCAAACTTCTCAACAACTTTTTTTTTTAATTATCTTTTTTTTTTTTAAGAATTTATTTAATCTTATTCTCTGTGCATTGATCTCAGAATCCATAGAACTGGAGTTGTAGACAGCTGTGAGCTGCCATGTGGGTGCTAAGAATTGAACCCAGGTCCTTTGGAAGAGCAGACAGTGCTCTTAACCACTGAGCCATCCCTACAGCCCCCCCCCTTTTTTTTTTACAGCACGTTTTTCTCCAACATTAGTTGACTGAGCTACATACGACACATATTAAGGGGAGACCTTCCAGTTAAGAGGAGATCAGTGGCCAACCCTCTCTTTCTAAGAGGGTCTGTGAAGCATAGCCTTAGGCCTTAGGGCACAGGCCTCCAGATGGCTGGTGTGTTGGCATGTGCCTTTAATCCCAACACTTGGAAGGCAGGGGCAAATGACAATAAACTTTCAGCTAGACTCTGTATTCCTGAAGAGCCCTTCGGTTTTATGTTGTCCTGCCATGGGACGAGATGGGTGGGTGTCTTGGGGAACGTGTGAAGTCGTGTTTCGGCTCAGCCACACCTCCAGTGCTGAGTGAAAGCTACGTAAACCAAGCAAGCACTGGCTGTGTGTGCAGCCACTCATTCAGTCCTCACAAGCGGAAATGGGCGAGAGCCTAGGTCTTCTCAGGTCCCTACAGGAGGACTGTGGCAGGGTTGGAGTCAAGTGACATTCCCGGTCTAGCTAAGCTTAGAGGCAACAAAAGGGCAGACAGCCCCGCCCCAGCCAAACATCCCTAACCTAAAGAGTATTAGCCTAGTTTCACTTAGAGGAAGAATCACAAAAAGGCAGAGGATGAGCCAGGATGCCACGGGCTTTGGCAGGCACAAGGCAACAGAACAACGCTAAGGCAAGGGAACGAAGCTGAGAATTATAGGAGCGGAGAGTGGAGAATCACGGTCAAGTTGCCAGGGCGTGAATCCTTATTCCTCTCTCCTAACTCCATGGCCTCTCTGGAGGTGTCTCATGGGATTTGAAAGGGGCCTCTGCCACAGCTATTGCCCCTGACCCGGAATTGTCCTCTTCTTCTCAGAGTCCTTGGATGAAGGGAAGGAACGGCGATCCAAAGCCCCAGTGGGTGTCATCAGTCACCAGATGGGGGAGCCCTGCAGGCTCCATAGGCACAAAGGGTTCACCTCTCCACTGTTGGAATGGCACTGGCCATGCACATAGGGCTGAGGCTGAAGCCTTAGGTGCAGCGAGCTTGTCTGTCCCATTCTCCACAACTGTCCTGTCTGTGCCCCTGCTGCAGCTCCCAGGCCAGTGGCTTGGACTTCAGCCCAGCTGTGGCAGCCCTGAGAGAGGATTTCCCCTGGGGCCCCCTGTTCCCACTGCCAGCACCCACAGCTGGCTGGCTTTGGCAGCCCAGACTGCTGAAACCTAGCACCATAAGAGCCAAAGCATCAGAGGCCTGGGCGGGGCTGGGCTTGAGTGCCAGCTGCCACACTCGTTCACCTTGGGAAAAGCACCAAACCCTGTCAGTTCAGTTCCTCCCCAGCTCATTAGAGATAAAGAGGAGCAACGGGGACCATCTTGAAGAACCCGATAAGACACCTGGCACCAAGTGGCCTCCAGGTGCAGCTGAGAAGTTAGAAAAGAGGACCTGCCTGGTTGCCCGCAGTCCAGAGACACAGCAGGCAGCCCTGCATCAGGGCCTTCGCAGATGCTGCCTCTCCACCTGGCTTCCGCATTTACCCTAAGACGCCTTCCTTGGGCACCGTATTAGGAGTTACCAGAAGCCCGCTCTAGCACAGCGTGGTCCTTTTCCTCCGTAGCACCGCTCAGCAGTCTGGTAAACCCTGTGCTTCGTGTGTGTGATTACTACTCGAGAGCAGAGTCTTGGCTATTCACCGCTGACAAGTAGAAGACTTCCTGGCACACAGTAGGTGCTTAATAAACGGATGCTCTGATTGAATGAAGCTGTTAAAGCCAGCACTCTGGATAGGGTTTGTGTTCTGTCTGGGTAGGTTCATGTTGTCTGTGATTCAGAGCACAGCTCTACACGTGTGCATGGAGGAAGATCATACAGACTGCAGAACAGAGGTCCCATGTGAGGATGTGGAGACCCAGGTCCCCTGAAAATATCAGTGTTAGTCTTGGCCCTGCTGAGCCTGTCACCACCAGCACACACTGGGATGGCTGAGCTGGTGGCCATCACTTGGCTGGACCCGTCTGTGTCTCCTCGGCTCCCTCTTCATCTCTGACGCTATGCTTCTGCTTCTGCCCTCCCCCAGGAAACTAGCGGACTGCGCCCAGCTGCTGGAGGTGGATGACATGGTGCGGCTGGCAGTGCCCGACTCCAAGTGTGTCTACACCTACGTCCAGGAGCTGTACAGGAGCCTTGTGCAGAAAGGGCTGGTGAAGACGAAAAAGAAATGAATGGTGAAGCTGTGTGGGTGGAGGAAGCCACCAGCGCACAGCTGTGGCCTCCAGGAGCTTCTGCACCGCCAGGCGTGAAACAGGTGGCCCAGGCTCAAAGGCATCACAAGTACCTTTGTAAAATCCTCGTTCCTTGATGCTCCCCGAACCCCAACCAGCCACATATGTATGCAATAGGCGGTGGCCAAAAATAAAAAGAAACCTGTATTCGGCGACACGCGTGGCGGTTTGCCAGGTCTCTTGTGCTCTGTTCCTCTCCACTTCCTCCCACTGGTGGGGAGGACTTCTAGACAGGAAATAGCCAATCTCTAGAAATCTCACCCAAACCGCCGCTTCGTCTGGCCAGTGGGTGGCACTATTGAGATGGCCAACGTTCAGACTCACTGTTTCCAACAAAATTAATCCCTCCTAGTCTGGATGAAGCTTTGCATTGTGCTGTTCCACGGTACCGAGGCTCAGTCAGGTCTAGCATACATGCAGCTGTGGGTTCATTCCCTAGCACCATGGGAGGGAAAGCAGATGTGCTGCCAAGGCTGTAGGAAGAACGGGGTTTCCGGTGACTGACAGAATGGATATACCCAATCCGAGGACGGCTGTGCCTCCGCTGTACATCACTGGTGCTCCCCGTGTATACCTCTGCAAGGGCCCCTGAGGATGGCCTGCTCAGGAGCAGCGTGCCTTATCACGGGTGAAAAGAGCCACGCCCTGTTAATCCCAGCCAGCCTGCTCTCTCAAGAACACTTAGTCCATGGGACTTAGAAGGTCCAAGGGGCAGCCGCCAAGCCAGACAGGCAACCTCTGGCCCACACAATGGAAGGAGAAATTTATGTCTCCAATAAGTTGTTCTTTCCCCTCTACTCCCAGGCCCCCATGGTATGTTCACCCATACACAAAATAGATAAAAACATAACAAAAACATTTACATGACACAAAACAAAAACACCCCCACACACACAGAAAAGTTAGCTCAAGTCTGGAATTCATCTGTGAAGTTAATGGCAGACAAGCAACACACATTTTGTGGAGCCCCTGGACTGGAGGTTGGGGGTACACAAGTCCCAGCTTGTGGCCTGGTCCCCAGAAATGTGGCCCCCAGACAGCAAACAATTGAGAAGCACGAAGTCTAATTTCTGGACGGAGGGTAGATAGGCTCTTTATTTTGAGATTCGCCAGCAGAAAATAAACTGTTTAACACGTCAATCTGGGCATGCCTCTCCTAAGTGTAGTTGATTCCGATCACTCAGCAGCGAATGTGGCCCCTTTGTGGACTCTGCCATCGGGCACGGTCCTGCCTCCCTCCCCACCCCTCCAGGCTTGGGTCCTGGGGTTGTGTTTTCTGCCACTTGGCCTGGCCTAAGTTGGAGAACTGGAAAGCAAGCAAACCTGAAACTGTGCAGACCTAACTTCACCAGAGCCACCGAGGATGTGGGGATGGCACATCTACAGCCACATGAGCCAGGGAAGGAGTACGCGCCACACAGGCCCAGCCCTCCCCTCACACACACACTGGGGGCCATATCAGCAGCTCCAAAGGAGAACTTGAGCCTCCAAAGGCCTCTGCCACCAGACTGTGGTATCAACCCACTAAGCGGAAGATCCAGGCAGAGAGGCCTCAGAACCACAAGAGGGTCGGTCCACTCCAAACTGAAGCGTGAACTCCTCCGCCTTCTTCCAGAACTTCTCCGGGTTCTGAGTCAGGAGGTCAGCAAGCTCCAAACGCACGGGCTCTTCCAGGTTCGGTCTGTTCACGAGAACATTGAGGGCCTCCAAGACTACAGAGAGACCGAGAAGGGCATCAGGAGAACCACGGGAGGAGGTAGGGGCAACCCGTCCCCAGACTCCCCTGAAGCTCACAGTCATCCCCAGGCACCCCAAGAGGGTTTCGTCACTTAGAGTGGCTCCACAGACAACGACACTCCAAGCCCTGAGTCACGGATCAGCACTTATCTTACTCTGTGACGCAGGCTGCCCTTGGCCTGGGCTCCTCCACCTCCCATGTACTAGGACTGCCACACCTGACTCAGTTTCCACACAACTCTTCTCCACGCTTCAAAGAGGCTTCATGCTTCACGAGATAAGTGAGATTCCCGATCCTCACTCTCCCTCCTTTCCCCTTTATTTAGTCTTCTCTCTCACACAGTACATCCAGAGTACAGCCTTGTCTCCCTCCCCTCCCCTCCCCCCAGACCCACCCCTCCTCCCTTTCTCTTCAGAAAAGAGCAGGCCTCCCAGGGATAGCAACTGAGCACAACATAACAAGACGCAGTAAGACCAGGCACAAACACCACATCAAGGCTGGACACAGAGGCCCGGGGGGAGGAGGATGGTCCGAAGAGCAGGCAAAAGAGTCAGAGACACACCCATTCCAACTGTTAGGAGTCGCCTGAAACCCTGAGCTAAATGACCACAGCATATCCGCAGAGGACCTAGTGCAGACCCTTGCTTGCAGGCTCCGTGACTGCCGCTGCAGCCTCCGAGAGCCCCTGTGAGCCCGGTTGATTCTGTGGGCCGTGTTCTCCGGTGTCCCCACCCCTCTGGCCCCTACAGCTCTTCCCCCTCTTCTTCGGGGCTCCCTGAGTTCTGCCTAATACCTGGCTCTGGGTCTCTGCATCTGCTCCCATCTGCTGCTGGAGGAAGGCTCCCTGATAGCAATCGGGCTGGACACTGGTCTGTGAGCCTTCCACTCTTGGTAAGAGGCACTCTGGTTTTCTGTTTCATTTTAAGATTGTGTGTGTGTGTGTGTGTGTGTCCACCCAGATGGGTGCAGATGTGCTTGGAGGCCGGAAGGGGAGGCTGGATGCCCTAGAGCTAGAGTTAAATGAAGGGAGTTGGGACCAAGGTGGGACCAAGGTGGGAGCCAGGAACTGACCTGCTGACCTCAGCAAGAGCAACAATGATTCTTAACTGATGTGCCATCTCTCAAACACCCTGGTCTTCTGTTAGATTGGAATTAAAAAAAACAAACTTTTATTTGGGATAAAGGGGTTCTGAAGGAAAGCCTGAAAAGCTCTCCTGCCTTGGCGGCTTTTGCTCTTTCTCAGCTGCTTCTGGGAACGCAGGGAGGCGGCACTGAACCTTCTAGGCAGTGAGCAAATGTCTGTGCCCTCACTTACGGCTCGAGAGGGGCTCACAGGTCCCCGGCTCATCCTCAGCCCACCCCTGGTCTCTGCCACCCCAGGGATCCTTGTTCCCCTAGATTAAGACTCTTGCGCAGGCCAGACACAGTCTGTCAGGTCGAGTCCACAGACTTCAGAGCTTTACTGTCTGTCACGGTCCACGGTTTACATGTTATTTACGCTTAAATTCATGAAAGTTCAATACAACGAAGAATTCAGTTCCAAGCTGGAGAGATGGCTCAGAGGTTAAGAGAACCAGCTGCTCTTCCAAAGGTCCTGAGTTCAATTCCCAGCAACCACATGGTGGCTCACAACCATCTATAATGAGATCTTGTGCCCTCTTCTGGTGTGCAGGTGTATATGCAGACAGAACACTGTATACATAATAAATAAATCTTTAAGAAGAACTCAGTTCCAAGCCAGGCATGGTGGCATAAGCCTTTAAACCTAGCGCTCAGGGAGACAGAGGCAGGCAGATGGATCACTGTGAGTTCAAGGCCACCGTGGTCTACAAAGTGAATCCAAGACAGCCAAGCCTACACAGAGAAACCCTGTCTTGAAAAGACAAAAAAAAAAAAAAAAAAAAAAAAGAGTTTAGTCCTTTCAGGGATATCCTGATCATGTGGTTCTCAAGCATGGGTTTTGCAGATGACATCATCCTTTTACGGTATCAGCAGGTTTGATGCATGTCCTAGGCCTTCTGTGACTGTGATGAAAAAACCACGACCAATTTGTGGAGGAAAGGGTCCCCTTCAGCTGACAGCTCTGAGGGCACGCTCCGTCACTGAGGGAAGTCAGGGCAGGAACTGAAGCCATCCACAGAGGAGCACTGCTTGCTGGCCTGCTTCCCACAGGCTGCTCCACCTACTTTCTTATACACCCAGGACCAGCTGCCCAGGGTGGCCCCACCCACAGCGGGCTGGGCCTTCCACATCAATCTTCAAGCCAGAAAATGCCAGACAGACGTCACCTGTAGGCCAATCCTATGGAGGCAATTTCTCAATTGAGAAAAGAGTCCCTCTTCTGAAATGATTCTAGCTGTGTCACGCTAATGTAAAACTAACCAAGACACCACACCTGCTGGATTCAGCCAAGCTCTGCCCTCCGCACCTGTAGGTCCCTGTTCACCTTTCCTAAGCTTCAGTGTCTCTGTTTATTTGCCCAAGCTAACGGCTAATGGTAACACCATCTCATAGGGTGAGGTAATCCTTCCCTCTGAAGCCAAGTGCTCTCTTTCTCTCTCTGACACACACACGAACCATTTCTAAGTTCCTCAAATGCCTGAAAGAATATGCCAAACATCTAGTATCATCTCAGGAAGCATCCCTCCATCCAGCCATCCAGTGTCTCAGGAAGCATCCCTCCATCCAACAGGAGGTTCACCTCGACTCACATTTTCATCACCTCTGATTTATTTATTCTTAAAATGCATTTACTGGGGATGGGTAGATAGCTCATCAGTTAAGAGCACTGGTTGCTCTTCTAGAGGAACTGCATTTGATTCCTAGCCTCCAAACGGCACCTCACAACTATCTGTAACTCCAGTCCCAGGGTTCCAACACCCTCTTCTGGACTTTACAGGCACAAGACATGAACATGGTGCACAGACATACATGCAGAAAATACTTACATATTAAGTTAATCAACACATGTTTAAAATTTTATCTATATACTTTAAATTTTTTACGTGTGAGTATTTTGCCTGTGTGCACCGTGTGCATGCAGCACCCAGGAAGGCCAGAAGAGGGCACTGGATCTCCTGGAACTGGAATTTCAGATCACTCTGAGCCACTGCCCGAGTGCTGGAAAGGAGTCCAGGTCCTCTGCAAAAGCACAAAAGCAGCAAGAGGTATTAACTTCAGTCATCACTCCAGCACCTATATATTTTTGACACAGGTCTAATGTAGCCCAGGCAGGACTCAGACTTGTTATGTCAGTGAGGATGACCTTTTTAGTTTATCATTTGTATGTATGTGCATGTGTATGTGCGTGTGTGTGTGTGTGTGTGTGTGTGTGTGTGTGCGTGCGTGCGTGCGCGCGCGCACGCGCGCGAGCGATCATGGAGAGGACAGAGGACAACTCTTGTGAGTTGGCTCAATCCTTCCACTGTAGGTTTCCACTGGGTTTCCATCAAACCCAGGTTAGCAAGCCTTCTCACCAGATCAATCATCTTCCCTTGAACTTCTGACCCTCCTACTTCCACTTCCCAAGTGCTGAGACCCCCAGTGTGGATCATCACACCCAGTTCATGTGGTGCACGTGACTGAACCTGAGACCTTATGTGCACAAGGCGAGCACTGAGTTCCGCTCCCTTCCCTAGCTCTTTCCTTTAAGTCTTTAACTCAGTTTGAGCCCACAACATCCCATCCGATAGCCCCACCCACAGCAGCCCTTCCTCCGGACCAGGCCCACCCTACCTTGATAGGCCTTGGTATAAGGCTTCCAATTCTCCCTGCTGATGAGGGGCAGGCACACCAGCCCGTCCTCACCGACGTTGGGGTGGTAGATCTTGGTGATGAATTTTAAAGTGGGAGGCTTAAGTGGATACTCCCTGGGGAAATCAATTTGCAGTCTGAAGGCCTTGAGTCCATAGGGAAGTTGGTCCTGATCAAAGAGAAGAGGCTGAGCTTTGTTCTGACTGAACAACTCCCTGAAAGATAGCTTTCCTCCAAAAGCTTTGATCTGGCCTTCCCTCCCTTTCCCATCCCAGGGTCCCAGGGGTCCTCTGCTCTACACCCAGGAAGATATAAGCATTTAGCAATTGCCTTAGGAATTAGAGAAAGGGTGGACTCACACAAGAGCACTGGCCTGCCTGGCAGGAAAGTCTGACCCTAGGCTTTGCCCTGTTGCCATGAGTAAGCCACATCTCACCCCTGAACCTCAGTTTCCTAATCTGAAAAACAGAAACCCAGAAAATCACAGACAGCCCTGGTTAAGCTTGGTGGGTCACAACACAAAACAAACATGATATGTGAGAAAGAGAGGAGGCAGGCTTGAGAGAAACCAGTGTGGGGTAAGGTTGGTATGAGACTGTCACAAAGTTACCAATTAAAACTGGTGCAGATGCTATGGGAAACCAGAGTGCAATTCTTTAGAAATTAAAACATGATGCATTAATTCCACTTTGGGATTTATTCCTCAAAAGAGAAATTTAAGATGTATTTTACGTGTATGAATGCCTGCATGAACGTATTGTACCACGCACCTATGGAAGTCAGGTGATGACTCCCTGGGGCTGGAGTTACATAGGGTCATGAGCCAGGTGCTGGCAATTGAACTCAGGTCCTCTGCAAGAGCAACCAGCACTCTTAACCACGGAGCCATCTCTCCAGTGTTCCTCAGAGGATTTTGTTTTGGTTTGTTTTTTATTTGTTTTGTTTTTATTTTTATTTTTGTTGTTGTTTTTGCCTTTTGAGACACGGTTTCTCTGTGTAGCCTTGGCTGTCCTGGACTCACTTTGTAGACCAGGCTGGCCTTGAACTCACAGAGATCCACCTGCCTCTGCCTCCCTGAGTGCTGGAATCACAGGTGTGCACCACCATGCCCAGTCCACACAACAAATGTAACCACTCAGAGAAATGGTCGCCAGATCCTAAACTCTACAGTCTCAGTGAACTTCTGCCCAGTCAGGATGGCCATTCTGAAGCCATGCAGCTTCCCTTTGGTTTTGTTCTGCTTCCTTTCTTCTTTAATTATTCTCTCATCCTGACCACAGACTCCCCTAGCCCCCCAGCATCACCACCAGCCTCCCCTCTCCCCCAGATGTACTGCTCCTGTTTCCTTCAGAGAAGAACAGGCCTCCCAGTGACATCAACCAATTAGGGTCGTACACTTTCACTTTCAATTACATTTTGATGGGCTTCTTCACCCTACATGAACAAGGAAAACTACAGCAATGGAGCTGAAAGACGAAAAGCCATCAGTTTCAGTATTCTCTTCCTGCATCTGCCCACACTCGTCACCCAGTGTCACCCTTCCTCGTCTCCCTCGTATGTGTGACACCGTGCCCCCCCCACGGCTGTTTGCATGTGTGCATCGAAGTCTAGATTTGCATGTGAGAGAAAACATAAAATATTTTTGAGTGGCCCCACTTAATATTACACGTTCCAAGTCCATCCATTTCCTTGATAGTTTCATGGCTGCATTTCTCTACGAAGCTGAAGACAATTAATAAAATAAGACACATGTGTACAAAGAAACATCATTTATCATTAAGAAGGAATGAAAGTCTAACATTGCCGCAACCTGGATGAGCCATGAAGACATTACAGTAAGTGAAATAAGCCAGACAAGAACTGACATATACTGTGTGACAGATTCAATACCTGGGTGCTCAGATCCTAGCAATACAAGACAGGAAAGTGCTCATGAGGTGCTGGAGGAATGGAGAAATGAATGAAATGTAGACAGAGTTGAAATACAGGTTGAAAGTTCTGGACATGGAGGGGAAAACCACTTAATGTACCTAATGCCACTGAACTCCATTCCAGTGTAAATTGTGTCTTTTATTCTTGAGATTATAATATAATTACAAAATTCCCCTTTTCCTGGTCCTCCTTCCAAACTCTCCCATCTGTGTACATACATACATATGCACATATGTACATACATACCTATTTCTAAATATAAACGTTCAGTGTGGGCAATGTCCCTCATCTGTGTGTTTTCAGGGCTGACCGTTTGGTACTGGATAACCAATTGTGTTCGCCCCTGGGGAGACTGTATCTCCCACCGTCAGAATTGTGTGGTTGCCTGATTTCATTGCGCAGGGTTGAGGCATCTTGGGCTTTTCCCAGGCCCCACTGGCATGTCTGTTGTGTCTGGTGAGCTCCCGCGAGGCGTTACAAGTGCAGCTTCTGATGTTACTGGAGACAGAGTCTCATAGCGAACTCCCCAACCCTCTGCCTATTACAGTCCTTTTGTTCCCTCTTCTGAAATTTCCCTGAGCCTTAGATGCTTTGTAGAGATCCACTGGCACTGGGTACCACTGAACTCTTTAAAGATGGCAAACATAATTATTTTACATAATATCTAAACACAGGCAAAACAGACATATACATAAGTTAAAATAAATTTTTAAAAAAGTAGACGTAAAGGTACATGCCTATAATCCCAGCATTTGGAAGGCAAAGGGGGAGGGCTGCTGCCTGAGCTACAGGCAAATTCAAGCCAGCCTGGATGGACTATACAGCAAAACTCAGCCACCAAACAAAAACCACATCGTTGGAGGCTACAGTAAACAAGAGTTTGGCCAAATGCCAGCACAAGAAGACTTCAGATCAAGGGACCTGAAATTCTGCAGGCACCTACCCTGGGCCACGTGCGACTAGGGGTGGCACCTTAGTCAGCCTGGGACTAGTTAGCAGGGAATATAAAGGCCCTGAAGTGCCCTGCATGGGACATCTTGGCTCTTTCGACCACTAATAACATCTCTTAGGCAGTAACTGGATCTCTCTGTTTCCTAGCAGGTACCAGTAGATATCTTCCTAGGGCTTGGATGAGAAACATATGCGTGTTTATTTCAAAGGCTTAGAACAGGGCACAGCTGCACACGTATGTGCCAGCTATGACTGACAGCTATGAAAGCCATGTAACTCGGTGCCTCCATCTTCAGCTAAGGACCCTGTCGGTCCGTGTGCACATGTGATGTCCAGGCCACAGTGAGTTTGCTGAAGTGGAAACGCAGAGTTTGACTTCACAACCCACATATGACCCTACTCATGCTCTCTGGAGACAGCCCAGGGGCTGGTAAGGGCTGAGCGAACGTGGACAGAGCTCTGGATCAGTGCCCAGCACCTCGTGAGACGAGGTGTGGTGGGACACACCTGTAATCCCAGGCGTGGGAGGTAGATGGGAAATTCAGTGTCTTTCTCAGCTATATAGGAGGCCAGCCTGGGATACAGGAAAGCCTGGAAGGAAGAAGAGGAAAGCGAGGCAGAGGGGACACGAGAGTCCTCCCAGCAGGGCTCAGGGTCCCTCAGGCTGGCGCCAAAGCTCCACGGTTGAAAAGACACGGCAGGCAGCTAGAGCCACAGCCGTGGCCGAGCGAGTACAGTGCTGTGTTCTGTCTGTGCTGTGAGCGGGAGTGCACCCAGGGCCTACGCATGCTAGACACATCTACCACTCCTGAGCCCTGTCTTCAGCCCAGAGTCAAAGTTCTGGGCGCCTCTCCCTACCAGGTGGCAAAATGGAAACTCGGCCTGGCTGCCTGCGTGGCGGAGATACAGCAGGGAGCAACTCCTGGGCAGATAAAGGAAACGCCCAGCTCATGGTCCTCATACACAGAGAAGCCTGGGCCTTTGGGGCAGAGACAGGGAGAAGCAGGACTCTCGGGGCAAAACTGGGTGTCTGTGCCTCCTGTGTCTACAGGCTCCTTTTTGCTGAGCTAAAAGGTCTTAACAACGGGTGAAGGCTCCAGACAGCTGAAGCGCAGGCCCGCTTCATGCTCCTAAGTGATTCCGAGCCTCTCCCATCTTTAAGGTGGGTCAGAAGAAGTAGTTCACATTGCATCTCATGTTAGCGGGAAGACTGCTGCTGCTTTCCACATTCTGGGTTATATATACTAAAAACAAAAAAAAAGTTTGATTGGAAGTTATCCATGCACTGGTCAAGACAAAAGATTCGAACTGGGCGTGTAGCACGTGTGCCCTGGGTTCAAATCTTAGCACCAAAACAAAGCAAGAAAGAGAAAAACTTGAAAGCCCAAGGCAGGAGAACTGCCATGGGCTCAAGGCCAGCCTGGGCTACAGAGAGCCTGTCTCACACGAAGGAGGAGAGAAAGGAAAAGAAGGAATGGGCCCATTCCAGGAGGCCAGCTCTGTCAGCACAGTGTTCACCTTGAGACCTCACCTGGCTCCCTCAAACCCCTGCGTAAGAAAAAGCTGGACAAGGTGACACAGCTTGGTAATCCTGACGCTGGGAAGTACGGACAGGCGGATCCCTGGGGGCTGGCTGCTCAGCCTGCCTGTCTACTTAGAAAGTTCCAGGCTAAAGTCTAAAAACCACCACCAACAAAATGGACAGCACTCAGGCGCACCTCCAGATCAACAGAGGCAAACACAGAGGAGAAGGGACAGGGGTGGGGTCTAAAGCCAGGCCTTCCTTTTTCTGCCCTGCGGCCTTATTCTGTGTAACCAAGGCCACGTTCCTAGTTCTCCACTTCCTCATCTGTTCAGAAAATGTCTTCTCAAGGTGGGCAAGGTTCTCAGGGCTACCTCTAGCCGTGTCCTTCAGACAGAGATCCATCCGTTGAGACTCTGCAAAGCACTGTGTGACCCAGCACAGCTGAAGCGGCAAGCAGGCCGCGATGAATATATAAGTTGAGACTATGCCTTTCTGGGGCAGGAGGCCTGCTTACCGGCAAGGTCCCTGTGGGCTCTCCTTCCCTGTGGGCTGGCTACTTCCTTCGGGTCCTAGGCACCTCTAGGTCCCAGCACATTTCCTCCAGCCTCCTGACTGGCTGGGAAGATTTTAGCACTCCTGCCTGAGGAGCCAACCGTAGAGGTCCTCTGATTTCACAGTCTCTCCCAAGCACAGCTTTTGCTAGTTTTCCTGTGACGACCCTCTTTCTTCTGACCTCCTCCTTCACTGTCATCATCCCCAAACTGGTCTCCTTGGAGACATAAGCAGGACCCTTCTTCCTGGTATCTTCTTCCTCTAGCATGTGTAGCTCAGAGCAGAGGTCCTCACAGCCAGCCCACCCACTGAACTGCTCCACACCAGGGCTAGAGGACCCTGACAGGACTCAGCTGTTGGCCTAGACTACGAATTTGTGGAAAGAGAAGGTAAGACCACAGCACGGTGAGTACAGAACCTAAGTGACCATCAGTTTGTTCTAAGAGCAACAAGGCTGTGGTTTTGTTCTACTTTCTTCTAGCTAGGCAGTGTGGTACATGCCTTTAAGACCAGCCCTTGGAGGCTAGAGGGAGGTGTATCTCTGAGTTCAAGGCCAGTCTAATCTACAGAGAGAATTCCAGGACTACACAGAGAAACCCTCTATCAACAAAAACAAAAAAGCAGAAACAACAACAACAACAAAAATTTAATAGGTGTTATTTATCAAGCTGAATTATGACTCTGTATCAAAATAAAAAAACAAAACAAGACAGTCTCATTTTGTCAAAAACTCTATTATCTAGGCATGGCAGCACATGTTTTTAATCCCAGAACTCAAGAGGCAGTACTCTAGAATTCAAGACCATCCTGGTCTGCATAGCAAGCTTCAGACCAGGAAAAGCTACACAGAAAGGTGGCTGGAGAGACGGCTCAGAAGGTAAGAGCACTGGCTGCTCTTCCTAGAGGTCCTGAGTTCAAATCTCAGCAACCACATGGCGAGATCCGGTGCCCTCTTCCGGCATGCAGGTGAACATGGTATACATAATAAATAAATCTTGAAAAGATCCTATCGTGTGAAGTGTGTGTGTGTTTCGATACCTTGTTTTGGGAGACAGGATCTCTCACTGGCCTGAAGTCACCAAGTGAACTTGGCTGCCTGCTCTGACTCCTCAGCTTCAGCTTTTCACCTGGGCACCAAGGGCTTAGCTCCAGTCCTCATGTTCACCAACTGACCTCCTTTTGAGTCTGCGAGTCTTCTGTGGTGTTTGAGAAGGGTGTCCTCCTAAGTTGCCAAAATTTCTGTTGTGTTCAGTAGTCTGACTGGACTTAGAAGAACTTGGTCTAGGGACAGAGCTTTTTCCACACTCACCATAACCTCCAGGAAGAGCTCCAAGGCCCGGCCCTCCCTGCCCATGCTAGCATAAGTCAGCCACTGGTCCTCGGACACTTACGGGCAGCAGGAGCGTGTGCCACACCAGTACGTTGGCGTCATCGCTGGACAGGCGCCACAGGTACGGCGGAAGCTGCTTCGAAAGGTCCTCCAGCTCCTGCAGGGATCACCACCAGGGAGCATGAGCCGAGTGCTCACAACCTCAGCCTCCTACCCACAGCCCCACAGCAAGCCAAAGAGGGCATCCTGAGAGCAGAAAGGGACGCTCAGAACCCCCACTCAGGAGCACTTAGCTGGTGAGACACCGTGCTGAGTGATAAATCATTTACCTGACTCTAGCCTCAGCACAACTCTTAGCCCCAGGGCAAGAGTTAGCCAATCTCAAATATTCATTCAAATATTAAGAACTTTGGGGGTGAGTAAGTTCTCCTAGGAACTCATTTTCTCTCTGAAAGCAAGGTCCTCTATCCTCTTGCCGTCTTTCTAGCAAGTCACTGGGTCCTATTCCTCCCTCTCTCTTCAGAAATAGCGTTTCCAGCACAGTGCACTCTGGCAGGACGGACGGCAAGGCGTCATTCATCCACTCCCCTCCGCCGAAGCACACCACCATGGGTTTGTAAGGCCTGCTCAGGCTGCCTCGTGAGAAACTGCACAGCACACACAGTGCCCAGGGAAGAGCAGTGACTTGCTTCTCAGAAACGGGGCCCACCTCCCGAGAGCACCTAACTGAACATCTGCTGGGCCCTGACCAAGACAGGGTGCAGCCCTCCAGAGCGTCTTTGGAGTAATGGAAGAAACAAATTCGAGGACATGAATAGTGCGAATGGACACACGGTCAGGAAGGAGGGGAGTGGGAATGCTTAACAGAGGTCGTGTGCTGTGAAATGGGCCTTGAAGTGTGGGAAGGAGCCCAGCAGGCCCGAACACAGAGCACCGAGGCAGAGGGCACAGACAGGACAGGTGTGCCGGTGTCCCGTGGAACAGTAATAGCACAGGAAAAGGGCTTCTGGCCAAGCACACCTGGGAAAGCTGAGCTAAACAGCTTCTTCACTGCACAGAAACCACAAGTTTTGGTTATTGCAGTACTGAAGACAGCACCAAGGGCCCTGAGCATGCTACGTGGTACCACTGGCCCACACCGCCAACACACCCAGAGTCAGTATGCCATGGCGCATCTGACCAAGGGCTCCAGAGCCTCTCATTTTGAGAAGGGGGCGTTGGTTTAGAAACATTCGCACATTCAAGGCAGCTCAGTAAGTAGACATAAACTAGGGGTCTCATCCGGGAACATGGTTACCCCCCAGGGGGCATTTGCCAAGATCTAGAAACTGTTTTTCATTGTCACAAATGGGGCGAGTGCTACCACAATTCAGTGTGTAAAGTCCAGAGATACTGATGAAACATCCTACAAAGAATTATCTGGTCCCAAATGTCAACAGAGGTAAGGTTGAGAAACACTTGTGTAAACACTGGCAGAGAGAACGTTCCCATCATCCTTCACTGCTGTAAACCACCTGACCTTTCCCTCCCAATCACGGAACCCCCCTTCAGTCTCTCAAGCTGTCTCCATGTCTAATCACACCATGCTTCTGTGCTTCTGCCTAGAGCAATGACCATCCCCTGTGCCGCCCAGCCACAAGCAGCCTCAGCTTGGGCAAGAACAAAGGCTTAGGTGAGAACACAGAGGCTGAGCAGGCATTTTCTGGGCTGGAGATGAAGCTCAGCTGGGTAACTGTTTGCCTAGCTCAAGTGAAGCCCTGGGTTCAGTCCCCAGCACTGCATAAAACGTGATAACGTGCTGCGTGTCTCTGATCAGGACTTAGGAGATGGAAGCAGAAGAGTCAAGAAATTAAAAGTTGGGCTGGTGAGATGTCTCAGTAGTTAGTATCTCTTTTTGTTGCTCTTCTGGAGGACCTGGGCTCCATTCCCAGCACTCACATGGTAACTGCCAGCTAGCTCCAGTTCCAGGGGATCTGAAGCTCTCTTTTGCCTCTGCTAGCACCAGGCATGCAAGTGGTTCACAGACATACATGCAGGAAGGACACCCATACACATAAAATAAAATTAAACAATTCAAAAAGCAATTAATGGCCCTTGTCAGCTACATATCAAGTTTAAGGCCAACCTGAACAACACAAAATCATAACTTAAAAATAAACAAAAACAAACAACAAGAACAAAAACCTGGACTGGAGAGATGGCTCAGAGGTTAAGAGCACTGGCTGTTCTTCTAAAGGTTCTGAGTTCGATTCCCAGTCAACCACATGGTGACTCACAGCTATCTGTATGAGATCTGGTGCCCTCTTCTGGCGTGCAGGCACACATACAGGGGGATGTATGTATGAATAATAAATAAATAAATCTTTAAAAAATAAAAATAAAAACAGCAGCAACAACAAACCAGAAGGGGAATTTTCTCTTACCACTGGGAATTTTTTATGTCTCTTGGTGAACTCTGCCTGAATTTCCCCTGACTGCTGAAATCCAAGCTAGGCCCACACAGCTCCTCCCAAAGCTCGTAAGTCACCTGACTTAGAGGAACTGAAAGTGAGGACCAAGAGGCCATAAAAGCCTGTTACGGCCTCATCGGGGCTCACTTTCCAGTTCCATCACTCCTGGTCACTGCTGGTCAACAGAGCTGCTTTCCTGGTGTCTGTTTCCTCCTCTGTGAAACAGGAAGGCCAGTTATCTCAGAGCTGTTGTAAGACTTAGGTAACATAAACCGGCTGGCACTCAGGACTTGGGAGCAGTAAGAGCCAGGCTGCCTTAGGTTGGGATAACGTGTCCCTCTGCCCACTTTTGCACCAGCCTAAAACCATCAAAGTTTAGCCCTGGGTTGGGCCTGCTTCGGATTTCTCCACCTTAAAGAATTTTCTTTTTGGAAGCTGAGGACAGCAACCACCCTCCTGTCTCCTGAGACAGTCTTCCCCTCAATTCTGCAGACTCGGGGGGGGGGGGGTGCGGAGGGACTTTTGGGGAGACTCAAAGCCTGGGAGTGCCAGCCCTAGCTCACCAGCATTTCTCCTCCACCATCTCCAGTCGTGGCTCCATTCCGCCCTCTAGACATTCTAAGGGAAACTGCCCCCTTCATTCTTCCAGTTAGTGTCCAAACAGAGACCGAGATAGAAATGAACACTCAAGGCGGACAAGACTTTTGTTCCTTTTCTTCCCCCTGCCGCCTGGCACTGGGCTAGGATAAAGCACGCCTTTAGCATCTGTCTCGGGCTGCGTGCAAATAGCCTCCTGAGAGCATGAGTTGGTACTTCTTCTCTTCCAGGGACTAGTCTGCACACTTTCTTTCCAGGGTCCGCCGGTCCCCACCGCAGAGCAAGCTAGGTATCAAACCACCGGTCCACCCTCTCGGTAGAGCAACAGACCCAGACCCCTTCCTGGGCCTTTAATAAATTTCCAGGCCATGCCGAGGGGGCGCACACCTTTAATCCCAGCACTTAGGAAGGCAGAGGCAGGCGCATTTCCAGCCAAGTCTACAGAGTGCGTTCCGGGACAGCCAGCGCTACACAGAGAAACCCTGTCTTGAAAAAACAAAAACATAAAAGCAAAACCAAAAAAAACCGGCAGAATCGAAACTGAAACCATTATAACTCAGGAAGCTGGTGACACCTCTATCTTGTGTGTCCCCAACCCAGCCCACAAATTCCAGTCTCTCGGCCTTTCTGCCTACCTCTGTGTGTGTGTGTGTGTCTCTGTCTGTCCCTCTCTCCCTTTCTGTGTCTCTCCTTGTCTCTGTCTCTCTCTATTGTCTCTCTACCTCTGTCTCTGTCTTCTCTATCTCTGTCTCTCTCAAACACACACACACACACACACACACACACACACACACACCCCGACTCCTCCCACTCCTTTATTGGGATGCCTGGGTTTCAACCAGCCCTCGTACTCAAATAAACAAGTGTCCCGCGGTCAGCCGGGGAGTAGGGGATGGCGGGAGGGGCAGGAGGAAAGCGTGAGCTTACCTTGGCCACCCGCTTGCTGGCGGTCATCTCCGTTGGGATCCCGGGTGGGAAGGCCGGGAGCAGGCGCCCGCGGGAGCTGGCCCTCGCAGCTCTGAGCCCCGCCCACGCTGCACTCCACCCACACGGACTCGGAGGTCCACCACACCTGCCCGGCGGCAGGCGGTCTCGGTTCCGTGAACTCACGCTCTCTGCAGAGCTGAGACTACGTCGGTCCGTGGAGCACACCGCCTCGCTTGGTTCCTGCGTCCCGCGGGGTACGTGGCGCAGGAGCTGGGATGGGGTTCCTCCCCTGCCCCCACGCCGAGAACACAGTCCAAGCACGGAGTGCAGGGCTCTCTCTGCAACCTCCGCAATGGGATAACCAGCCTAACCCCCACCTCTGAAGGGACTGAGCCTCAGAGTCCTGGGCCAAGTCACTTTGCCTTTGTGGGTCCAGCGCCCCATCCTGACAGCGAGCTGGGGACAGTGTAGACTGTGCCCTCCAAGGACGGCTCCCTTAGCTGTGTGGGAGCCTTGGTACAGAGCAGCAGTTGGGCGGAAGCGCAGTGATGGATGCTTCCTTTGGGGTGGTAGGTTCCTGGCGCTGTTGGACCCTTTCGCCTTTTAGTTGAGGATGTTCTGTTGACCTTAAGTCCTTTACCTAGAAGGTGTCAGCTGTGTGGCGATTGGAAAATCGACAGGTTGGGGGGAGGCTCGAGATAGATTTCAGGAACCGATTATATTTTTACCACCAACCGATTACAAGCTTTTAGACCTACTGTGTGTCCTCATGAACAGCCAAGAGTCTCCAGCCCACAGCACAGGGTAAAGACCCCTTACCCCAGCCCAAGTTGAGACCCCAAAATATTGAACAGCATCTAGGAGAAATTCTACTGCTGTGAGAAAGCCAGTGAGGCGACCATTTCCCATCCCGACCCCACCATGGCCTCACCCCTTCTAGACCAGAAATTAGCATTATTTGAAGCTCAAGCTTTTGAGCCTGTATGCCACATGGTTGGTTTGTTTGTTTGTTTGTTTGTTTGTTTGTTTTCTCTGTCTGGGAACCGAATGTTTGCTCTGCTCAGACATGGGATGGGTTTGGAGAACAATTCTGTTCATTCAATTCAATAACTTTAGCCAGATACTTCCTGAATGCCGGCAATGAGCAGGCCGCCATCCGCAATCCCTACATATAGGTAGGGGACGAGGGAGCAGGGCATTTGGACCCGATTCTAATCAGTAGTCTTTGCTGCTTCAATACCCAGCACCAGCACTGCCCGTGAAGCACAGCAGACTGAGAAACTGTGTTGTCTGTTCTCAGAGGAGCTCTGACAGCTGAAGCAGAGAATCCAGCCTCTGAATTTTCGCGTTTGTGGTTTTTTGAGTACGTAGTCTTGGCTGGCCTGGAACTTGTTGGTGAACCAGGCTGGCCTGGAACTCAGAGGTCCTCCTGCCTTGCCCCCCAAGTGCTGGGGTTAGAGGCATGTGCCACTGTGCCCTTCATTTTAGTCTCTGAATGTTAATGGTAATAGTGTAGCGAATCACTCCGTCCTGGAGCAGGAGACCCGCTTGGTCTCCTTGTGAAGGGGTGAGCAGAGGCTTCCTGGGTGACAGCGTGGGAGTGAGGGAACTGGACCATAGGCTCCAACAAGAGGAGGGAGGAAAGAAGGGCACCGGTGTGGGAGCCTGAGCCGGCTGACAGCGTCGAGGACAGATGTGGTCCTCCCTGCTTTTCTCTTACAGCCCTGCATCCTGATCCAACTTCAGGCTCTCTGGGGAGGGACCAGAACCAGCACGGGAGAGCATACACACAGAGAGACAAGTAGATAACTAAATAGTTTGTTTGTTTGAATCGGAACATAGTAACTGCACACACTGATGGGGACAGTGTGGTAGTCCACGCGTGTCCGCACTGTGCAGGGGTCAAACCACAGCGGTTGGCATTTGCACGGCAAACATCCTTTCCAGTCCTTTCTTTGTGGTCGGGACCTGTGGACTCCTCTAGTTCTTTATGAAATACGTAATGAACCGCTGTTAATGAAATTTGCCCTACTGTGCTATAGAACATAAGTACCCAGTGCTGTTGTGAGCCTGGACAGATGCTTCAATTAAGGGCACTTGTTCTCACGGCAACCCAGGTCCAGTTCCTGGTACCCACATGGCGGCTCACCAGCTATCCACAACTCCAGGACATCAGACATCTAACCTCCGGGGGCACCAGGCAGATGTATGGTGCACTGCAGGCAAAAGAATCATACACATAAAATAAAATAAACTTTAAAACTAACAAAAAAAGAAAGAAAGGGAAGAACTCAGGGCTGGAGAGGCGGCTCAGCAAGTGAAGGTGGGGCTGGATGGCTTAACACTTGCCAGGAACACTAAATAAAGCACTATAAAAATCACCTAAGCGCATTTGGAATCCTTCATCCAGCTCTTTGTAGCCTCCCTCTCTGCTACTCTTCCTCCCTGGTGACATCTACTCTCTTCTCTGCTTCTGTGAGAACTTCCTTTGCTTTTTGTTTGTTTGTTCGCTTTTGTTTCTGAGACAGGCTTTCTCTGTTTTAGCTCTGACTGTCCTGGAACTCACTCTGTAGACCTGGCTGGCCTTGAACTCATAGAGATCCATTTGCCTCTGCCTCCTGTGGCTGGGATCAAAGGCGTGCGCCACTGTATAGGTAAAAAAATACTGGACCTGGCGGCACACACCCTAGGGCTTGGGAGATGGAGACAGGGGAGTTCAGTGTCAGTTTTGGCTATTGAAGAGTTGGCAGCTAGCCTGGGTTACATGAGACCCTGTCTCAAACAAACAGGATAAAGAGACCGTATGTTAGTTACAATACGTAGTACTTGGCTTTCTGTGTCTGGCTTAGTCCATCGCCGACACCCACCATCCATGCCGTAAAATAGGAAATTTGAATAACTACCCACTCAAAACTATAGGCAGATTCATATTTTTAAAGATTAAAGGTGAACATTTATTTATTTTTTTTTTTTTAAGATTCGTGGTATTTTATGTGCATGAATTTTGTGTGGATGTCCGTAAGGGCAGCACCCGGGTGCCTGGTGCTGGAGGAGGTTGGTACACCACAGCAATGCAACAATCAGCATCGCCACTGTCGTTCTCCTCATCGTTCCGTGAGTGACTCCAGTGCAGGTAAATCCCCAGAAGGATGTCAAACACCACACAAGTAGAAATGTGATGTAGCAGGAAATGGCCTGGCCTCAATCTCCAATGCTACAGAATGCACAGATGGATTTAAATGAATTTTCTGCTTTGGGATCTGGTTAATGTTGGTGTGTGATGTTTATTATTAAAAACAAAAAACAAAAACATTGCAGCCGGGAGATGGTGGCACACATCTTTAATTCCAGCACCCGAGGCCAGCCCAGCCTACAGAGTGAGTTCCAGGACAGACAGAGATACAGAGAGAAACCCTGTCTCAGAGAAAAAACAAACAAACAGAACTTGAAAGGATTTTTTTTTTTTTTTAAATAAAAAAGATTTGTTTCGGTTTTTGGTTTTAGGGGATTTTTGTTACTCTTGCTTTTTGTTTTGTCTTTTCATTTTCCGGGGCTGGAGAGAGGGCTGAATGGCTGAGGCCATATCCACCTGTAACTCCAGTTCCAGGGGCTCCAACGACCTCTGCTGGCCTCTCACACAGCTGTGCTCACATACACATTATTAAAAATAAAATAAACTTTTTGTTCCCAAAAAGCCTTTTGTGTTTTTAAGTCCTTTGGTTTCTCTTTGATTCTCAAAGATAAATGACCAGTTAATGCTTGTCAGTCTTTAACATTCAATGCACGCTAATTTCCTTTGTTTCTGTGTCAGGGCCTCCTGTAATCTGAGCTGGACTCTAACCTGATGTTTAGTTGAGGTCTAAGCTCACGATCCTTCCGCCTCAGCCTCCCAGGTGTTGAGATCACAGGCCTATGTCACCATCCTACTATGCTGCTCTTAATTCCCATTTTTAAAAACTTTTAAAATAATGTAGTGATTTATTAAATCTATGATTATCCTTAAAACTTTTTAATGTTTAGTTTTGTTTTTTAATTTTTATTTATTTTTTATTGATTACAGTTTATTCAGTTTGTAGCCCAGCTGTAGCCCCCCTCCTCACCCCCTCCCAATCTCACCCTTCCTCCCTCATCTCCTCCCTTGCCCCTCCCCAAGTCCACTGATAGGAGAGGTCCTCCTCCCCTTCCCTCAGACTCTAGCCTATCAGGTCTCATCAGGAGTGGCTGCATTGTCTTCCTCTGTGACCTGGTAAGGTTGCTCCCCACTCAGGGGTAGGTGATCAAAGAGCCAGCCACTGAGTTCATGTCAGAGACAGTCCCTATTTCCCTTGCTAGGTAACCCACTTGGACACTGAGCTGCCATGGGCTACATCTGTGCAGGGGTTCTAGGTTATCTCCATACATGGTCCTTGGTTGGAGTATCAGTCTCAGAAAAGACCCCTGTGCCCAGATATTTTGGTTCTGTTGCTCTCCTTGTGGAGCTCCTGTCCCCTCCAGGTCTTTCTATCTCCCCCTTCTTTCATAAGATTCCCTGCACTCTGCCCAAAGTTTGGCTATGAGTCTCAGCATCAGCTTTGATACCCTGCTGGGTAGAGTCTTTCAAAGGCCCTCTGTGGTAGACTTCTGTCCTGTTCCTTGTTTTCTCCCTCTTTTGATGTCTGTCCCATGTGCCTTTCTGAGTGAGGATTGAGCATTTTACCCAGGGTCCTCCTTCTTGCTTAGCTTCTTTAGGTGTACAGAATTTAGCATTTTATCCTATGTTATCCTAATTCCCACTTTTAGCAAGGAGGGAGGGAAGAGGCTTCACTACACATTAACAGGAAGGCTTAAGTAACGCCATTTTGCATTCATTATGTTTGTCTTAGCAACTTTCCCTTTAAGACTGTGTTCTGATTTTCATGGCTGGTTGTGTCTTGTTTTCCTTCCTCCGTTTAAAAAAAAAAATCTTAAATTGGCTAGGTGGTGGTGTCCCATGCCTTTAATCTCAACACTCAGGAGGCAGAGGCAGGCAGCTCTCTGAGTTGGAGGACAGCCTGGTCTACAGAGCAAGTTCCAGGACAGCCAGGGCTACACAGAGAAACCCTGTCTCAACAAAACAAAACAAAACAAAAACCAAACAAAAAATCTTCATTTCAAAAAATATTATTAAATCATAATAAAACAAGAATACAATCCATGTCTGGGAGTGATAGCCTAGAGGGTAAATATTTGCTCTGCAAGTGTGAGGACCTAAGTTTAAATCCCTAGAGCTCACTTAAA